GTAGGTGAAACGTTTTGGTAGAATAGTATTATCAATAATATCAAAGAGTTTATAAGCGATTCCTGTGATTGGAACAAAACCACAAAGGAATATTTACTTGTTAAATATTGAAATTCTCCTTGAGAGTATAATATGTCCATTAGGCGATTTATATCGTCACTTCCAGACCTGGAAGCATCCAGACAGAGGGCGCCACATCCTTCCGTCCGCCCACATGGTCTGTAGCCGGGTTGTTGGTTTTCATGAGAGGTATTTATTTCGATTTCAACGACGATTTAAAAAAAAAACAAGACAATCAGCTAAGATAAATTACGTAGCATGTGTTTTGAACGGCGACACTCTGAAATACGTGCAAAAAGGCATGTCACTCTGTACGGCGCGATCAATATATATTACTCATTATACATAAACAAGGGACATAACTCGACATTACAGAGTAATTACCTAAACCCGTTTTAAATGGAATTATTGCATTGTCACTTTTGCAACAGTATAACTAGTAAATTATACATGTGTTCATACTATATTAAAAATAACACGTCTAAAACTAGTAAACGCTGAAAGATTAAAAACATCCTGAATGTTTAAATGTGGTAGGATATAATTGCAAGCATTCTAAATGTTTAAATTTGGTAGGATGAAATTGGAATCATAAAACATGTTTAAATGTGGTAGGATATAATTGCAAGCATTCTGAATGTTTAAATTTGGTAGGATATAATTGCAAGCACCTGCACGTTTAAATGTCAACCATTCTGTTATTTCTCGATAAATACAGCGTCATACACCAAACCTAACAGGAAATGTTAGAGACATTGCTGTGACAGGCGATGTCACCAGATATGATGCAAATTGACCATATATGGAACTGTCTCGGACGAAACGTCAATGCACAAAATTCTAAATGTCAAACAAGAGGAGAATACGGTCTGCATGTATTCAGGAGTGACAGAGGTTTCCTCATTCCTCAGTACAGGTCTCTGTGTCTGGTCTGTGATATGAGACGCAGGGCAAAAGAATTCTTCCAGAAGCATGATAGCTAAACCTGATATTGATGTTTTCATACCCAATAGAACTGGATGATTGATATTCGTCTTGGACAGAAAAACATGTTTTGGTAATTTGATGACATGTTTGTTTATAGGAGACAGATTCAAATTTTCTTATAGACTTTGGGAATGATATTCTGGGCACGTCTTTTTAAAGATACCACACTTCAAACTGTGAATTCATTTACCTATTGACTGTATATAGTTTCCCTAGATGACTACAAACATTCCTGTACATCCTGTTAAGTTGTCATTGAAACTTTGTCTAAAATGAAATGTTGAAAAAAGGAAAACATTAAGAAAATACCAACGTGACAACATAAACAAATTTCCTTAAAACCTAGGGCAAAAAATGAACAAGAAAAAAAGATCTACATGGAGACTCCTGTAAAAATTCAAGAAGAATAAGACAATATGTCCCGGAAGAGTAAGTGTCTTCTGCTTCCTTGACGACACCTGCCATGTAAACTTTGGTCAATCTAAGTACGTCATGTCACGTTCTCAAAGGAGAACCAGGTACACAACAATGGAATTAACGAGCAGTTCATATCACACAAAGAAATAGAATATGATACAATACCTCTACACTGTTACGTACAGTTATATACCAATAAGATTTCGTTTGTTTTCACTTGTTATCTTAACTTCTCTTTGAGCCAATTATTTTCAAGACACTAAGCCATCTTGACAACTTGACAACTATTTGAGTCTCGTATTTTTAAGACATTTAGTCATCTTGAAATTTCTCTTAATTTTTAGACACTTAGACATCTTGACATTTCTTTGAGCCTCGTATTTTTAAGGCACTAAGACATCCTTACATATATTTGAGCCTCTTATTAGAAGACACGTAAATATCTTGACATTTCTTTTAAGTCTCGTAATTTTAAGACACTAAGCCATCCTTACATATATTTGAGCCTCTTATTAGAAGACACGTAAATATCTTGACATTTCTTTTGAGCCTCGTATTTTTAAGACACTCAGTCATCTCGATAACTCTTGTTTAAAAGACACTTATGGACCTATGGACCCACTTAACTAGATCTGGTTTCTCGAGTAGAAACCGCTCATTTACAAAGGTAAGTACAGCTTTATTCTTCAATGTTACAGACGTGGAGTGGGTTACATTATATTACCTAGAGTATAATATCGTACAGCATGTTTAAGGAGAAGACACTGTGGCGTTTATAACCGCAGACGTGATTCTACATCTGAAATATTAATTACGTGTTAACCTATCGTACCTCAGTATATTTTATACGGATAGTACTGCTTATTGTACTGTAGGGGTATTACGTCATAATACTTACTTAGAAATACTTACAGACACTTAGCTGGTTTATTTCACAAGAGGAAGGAAATGAATTATTCTAAAAATGTTTGTCACGATTTCATTGAATCGAAATGAAGCACGCGAAAGGTCTTAACATCGGCGGTTGAAAGCTGAATTTGAAGCATAAGTTAAACAGTAAAGAATATAGATCTTAGGGAAAATAGGGACTAGATAAATGATGTCGACAGCTGACAAATATACTATACTCAGATCACAGATCTTAGAAAGATGTCGACAGCTGACAAATATACTATACTCAGATCACAGATATTTGAAGGATGTCGACAGCTGACAGATATACTATACTCAGATCACAGATGTTTGAATGATGTCGACAGCTGACAAATATACTATACTCAGATCACAGATGTTTGAATGATGTCGACAGCTTACAAATATACTATACTCAGATCACAGATGTTTGAATGATGTCGACAGCTGACAAATATACTATACTCAGATCACAGATGTTTCAAAGATGTCGACAGCTGACAGATATACTATACTCAGATCACAGATGTTTGAATGATGTCGACAGCTGACATGTATACTATACTCAGATCACAGATGTTTGAAAGATGTCGCCAGCTGACATGTATACTATACTCAGATCACAGATGTTTGAAAGATGTCGCCAGCTGACATGTATACTATACTCAGATCACAGATGTTTGAAAGATGGCGACAGCTGACAAATATACTATACTCAGACCACCGATGTTTGAAAGATGGCGACAGCTGACAAATATACTATACTCAGATCACAGATGTTTGAAAGATGGCGACAGCTGACAAATATACTATACTCAGATCACAGATCTTTGAAAGATGGCGACAGCTGACAAATATACTATACTTAGATCACAGATGTTTGAAAGATGGCGACAGCTGACAAATATACTATACTCAGATCACAGATGTTTGAAAGATGTCGCCAGCTGACATGTATACTATACTCAGATCACAGATATTTGAAAGATGTCGCCAGCTGACATGTATACTATACTCAGATCACAGATGTTTGAAAGATGGCGACAGCTGACAAATATACTATACTCAGATCACAGATGTTTGAATGATGTCGACAGCTGACAAATATACTATACTCAGACCACAGATGTGTGAATGATGTCGACCGCTTACAAATATACTATACTCAGATCACAGATGTTTGAAAGATGGCGACAGCTTACAAATATACTATACTCAGATCACAGATCTTTGAAAGATGCAGCTTTAGGAAGATTAAGAGGAAGCTAATCTTCTACTAGTTGTGTTATAAGATGAAGGTGACCGTTTAGTCATTGAAACGTCACACTCTAATTAAAATAATAAACAAGATTGATGTGTTAATGTTCAAAATGTGTTGTAAGGAAATATTTAATTTGTGTATTTGTTGTAATGATAATGACTTTTTGCATATTGTTGAAAATAAAAATATAATGTGTGTAGTTATTGTATTAACACAATATTAACATAAATTATTTAGATTATAGGTCCTTTCATCATTTATATCTTTAAATATTTATTCCCGCATGGAATCTAGAAATAATATTGAAGTATTGTGTGTCTGTGAAAGAAGTGTGTCTGTGAAAGTAGTGTATGTCTGTGAAAGTAGTGTGTGTCTGTGAAAGTAGTGTGTGTCTGTGAAAGTAGTGTGTGTCTGTGAAAGTTGTGTGTGTCTGTGAAAGTAGTGTGTGTCTGTGAAAGTAGTGTGTGTCTGTGAAAGTAGTGTGTGTCTGTGAAAGTAGTGTGTGTCTGTGAAAGTAGTGTGTGTCTGTGAAAGTAGTGTGTCTGTGAAAGTTGTGTGTGTCTGTGAAAGTAGTGTGTGTCTGTGAAAGTAGTGTGTGTCTGTGAAAGTAGTGTGTCTGTGAAAGTAGTGTGTGTCTGTGAAAGTAGTGTGTGTCTGTGAAAGTTGTGTGTGTCTGTGAAAGTTGTGTGTGTCTGTGAAAGTAGTGTGTGTCTTTGAAAGTAGTGTGTGTCTGTGAAAGTAGTGTGTGTCTGTGAAAGTAGTGTGTGTCTGTGAAAGTAGTGTGTGTCTGTGAAAGTAGTGTATGTCTGTGAAAGTAGTGTGTGTCGGTGAAACTAGTGTATGTCGGTGAAAGTAGTATGTGTCTGTGAAAGTAGTGTGTGTCTTAAAGTAGTGTGTCTGTGAAAGTAGTGTGTCTGTGAAATAAGTGCGTGTCTGTGAATAATTTTGGCGGTCGTTCCTTCTGCATCTATGAATGTTTTACGGGAGTATCCAGGTATGAACCCATAGGTTCAGAATACAAATTATAGAATGCTATTGCATAAAATAGTCAGCAGGATTTTCGTCATTGTAATACATATTGAAAGTTAACGTGTGACAAGTTCAAATATCTGGTGAATCAACTGTGTGTCATTTCAACGGCTGATGTAAGTATGTGATATATATTTATTCCAAATCCTGAACGTGAATAACTTACTACAGGTCTAAAGACAGCGAGGGAGTACCCCAGTTCTTCTGAAGACAGTAGCAGTAGTATTACAGTAGACTGATGTTACCTGGATGTGTCACCTGGACTTAATGCTTATGGTTTACAACACAATACATATAACGGTGTGGTCAGTTGGAGAAGTGATATAAAGAAAACATGACTGGTGAAAGTGTCGTTGATGAAGAATATATTTATTTATTTACAGACATATGCGGGGACTCTCCATTCTGGGTAAATAATCTATTGAAAGACATTTTTACAAAAAACTACCTATTATCTTCAATTTTGCCGTAGTTTTGAAATACATTTAATGTATTATATATGTATGATTCATGCACTCCATACATATAGCTGTATCACCAACAAAATGAACTCGTTCTATATTTGAAGTTTGTTCTGCTTCTATCAGAGTAAAGTGGACATGTTACCAAACCCTCACATATTATCATGACTGGACCGTAATTATGACTTAGTATATAAAATTGATGTTTAAGTATTTATTTTATATAAAGTCCTATCACCCGGGCGTCCGGAGTTCGATTCCCAGAACTTACGTGAAAAGGGGTAGGATCGCCCGACCACATGGGTTTTCCCCAAGTACTCCGCCCACACAGACCCCTCGCGCGCATCTATACGGGTCAACGAATGCTAATTTTGCATTTTTTGAAAAAAAAAAACATATAGAATAATAATGGTACAAAGCCTAATATACGATGACAGAGCAGACTAGGTTTTGTACAATACAGTAATAATTTGTTCAGTAAATGGTGTTACGGTCTTATGACACATATTGATATGGATAAGTCACTAAGAAAGGTTCTGTAAGACTTTGCTTATTAAACATAAATACAATGTTAGTCAATTAAACGTAAAACTTAAAAGCTTTAAGCAAGCATGTTAAAACTTCAGTGAGATATACTGATATTTGAATAATATCAATCAACGTTATGATATGTAATCAACCATGTGGCATAAAGATGATTAAGGTCATTGAAATACATACCTCCCCCCTCCCCCCTCCGGAATATCCTGCCTGATTAGACGTCATTTTGAATGAAATCTGATTTATATATATATATATATATTGAAAATGTGGTGAATTCTCCGTTCCCAGTAAATATAGAAAAAAGTTAAACACTGAAAACACGTTCATGCCTAGAAATTACATCATGTGTTTTCCAGTGTTTTCTACATATATTTATATATATATATAGCAATATAATTAGATTCCTTTGTCAAGTTATTCATGAAGTCTAGATCTGTATTATAAGAATGGATAATTAATTGTTATGTTATTGTAGCAAATCTTAGTAATACAACTTCAATATCGTCGATTTATCTTTAACAGTTGAAATATTTCACAAAAAAATAATTATTATATTAAAGCCATAACATACCGTTAGGAGAAATCAAACTAATTGGTAATTTTCCACGTTCAAGACCTCTGATGTCCTGAGCTCTGCTGCCCCAAAGTTCACGACGTGTTTCCAGACCACAATCCTACAATGGCTGCCGTTCGTCTGGCTGTGTGTGACACTTCCGGTGTATGTCGTGGTCATCTTTCGACGTCCACCGGAAGTTCGCTTACCTCTGACTTCTTTCAGCATTACAAAATCAGTGAGAATTCTTTATGACTAATACTTTTTAATTTTATTTTCTGGGTTGAATTCGACAGAATTTGTGTTGAGACTTCTATGTATTTAACTAAGTATATTGTAAAAGCTGTATCTGTATTCGTTTTAACACTGTAATTTCCGAAAACATCAACTCTGCTCCAAAAAATTATTGATACATTTTTTAAAATGTTATAAATTAAAAAGAAAACCAGTAGAAACACCATTTGGATTGTATTTTTTCACTCAGTCTTTGTCCTTTTGGAAAATAGATGAAAACATCGAAAAAAATTACGTCTAAAACTCAGTTTAATATGAAAAAAAAATGAAAAATTAATCAGCAGAGTTAGGTTTTTTATCTCGACATTATACAATATTCCAGGTGCTTTGTATTTCCCTTATAATACTGACGATTGGGCAGGCGTTCTCGGTTTATCGAAACGGCCGAGGATGTGGGCGATCGGCTATGACGTCATATTACATCGGATACGGTCTATCTGTTGTCTCATTTGTAAGTATATAGATATGTTATTCGTGACGTTGCATGAATTAGATTCACACTTTCTGTTGGTCTTGACCTTAACTGAATGTGAAACGGAATTAAGTAGCCAATATACATAAATACAGTGTAAATCGAACACCAGTAATACTTATGAGACTGTACCTAGATTACATGTACTATAAAGTCAGTTTTGTGTCTGCCCAGTTTTCGCAGTTTTCAGGTCAAAGAAATGGAGGTTTTAACAAGACACCAGGCCCCACTTGTATAAAACATCTCAACTTGAGATTTCCTCAAGTCGAGATTTTCCTCAGCTAATATCTCCTTGGAAATATCTTGTATGGAAATTCCTCAAGGAATTTCAGGACATCCTAGCCGATGACTTCCTCCTATTCATTGAGAAAATTTTATACAAGCCGTTTTTGAGGAGATATCAGCTGAGGAAAATCTCGACTTGAGGAAATCTCAAGTTGAGATGTTTTATACAAGTGGGGCCAGTAATATAAAAACAGCGAGGCTATATAATATATATCACCTATTGTGTAAAACAGACGTTCTTTGTTGTGAATCTGTTCAGTCAGTATTTGATGTAAAAGATTTTTGGAATTCCCCAATTACCTCCCCTGCTTCATAATTAAGGCATCTATATTTTTCTTCAATGTGTACTCTGTTATGTAAATATTATTTCCGTTGATTTCTATTTTTCTTCAATGATATGATATTTGTGCCAGGTTATCGTGGGAATATTCATTCAGTTAGTGAGGAGATGGGGCGTCATCAGTTCGGCAGTTATCTACGCCTACTGGGTGATATTGCTCGTGTGTAATATCATACCGCTCCAATCTACACTGTCATATGACGTAAGTTAAAAAAATACTACCATCAGTTCGGCAGTTATCTTTGCCTATGTGGTGTTATTCCTCGTGTGTAATATTGTACCTCTCTACTACCATCAGTTCGGCAGTTATCTTCGCCTATGTGGTGTTATTCCTCGTGTGTAATATTGTACCTCTCTACTACCATCAGTTCGGCAGTTATCTATTGGGAATCAAAAGTCATTTAATAGATTAATACAATGTATACGCTTTCAATCTATATTCTACTTTCGAGTTTAAGTTTGAATTAAAATCTTGTTGCCATAACGATATTCTCTTTGAAGATTTTTCTCTCTTTTTTCTTCTTTATTTTGTGCGTTGTTTACTAAATGTCTATCACACATGCTGTTTTTGCTTTCTTTTCAGATTTCTTGCTCCAGCAGCAACGCTGTGTATCAAATTTTCTACTTCGTTTTGATATTGGTCCTGACTATCCTCCACAGCTTCGCAGACAAGCGGTCCCTCCGAGAGTCTGAAAATGAGGTATCTGTCCAGCGTTACTATTTATTGCAGTGTGTTAACAGCTTGACCGACATGTCGAGAAAATATTGTTTTTTTCTCTACACTTTTAGGTGGAGGAGGTTGGAATTAAAATGTCGCGTGTATATTTATTGCGAATCTGGACTTACAGAAGTAACAAATTATATGTTTTGATACTTTAAGGAAATGAATCAGATCATTTTTGTATTCGTATGTCGTATCAAAAACCGAATCTTAACGATATCTTTATACAGAAGTGACGTCAGCATTTTTAAAGTAAACTGGATTTCCAGACACTGAAAAGTTTTGTCGGCTTTTGACAGTTTTCTCAGTTAGAATGCTACTTTTGTTACAGTGTTTCATGTTTTGTAAAGATATTTCTAAATTGACACCTAAATGTTTAAGGAGAACAGCTGAGAATCTGAAATTATTTAAAAAAGTAGTCGATCTTATTTAAATTTCATCTGGTGTTTGTCAGTATCGGTGCCCGGATGTTGACGTGTCGACCCTGGCAAATCTCGTATACGCCTGGATGACGCCGTATGTATACAACTCCCCGCTAAAAATAAATATCACGTGATATGAAACTTTCATATTCTAAAAGTTTTGGCTGAAATTTGATATTGATTACATAGTTTAATATCAAAAGCAAAAACCCTGACACAGCGTTAGATTATACAAGGCAATTATGTACGAGTTCTTCACTAAATAACGTCTGACACCCCAAAGTTTTTTTTTTTATTTTAATTTTCTCATAAACACAGATATATGCAGTACTTATAACAAAATTGTAAGACGGTTTGATATTCACCTAAATAATATCAGCTCGTTACCCTTCATACTGATACATGTTTCCCGCAAATATTTCATATACCATTGTTCCTAAAATATAAAACGAAAAACCATTGAATTAGAATAAAATCCTCGTCCTATCCTTTCGGTCTGAGAGATGCTCTATTTCCACATTTTTTAGAACTGTTGTCATGGCTTACAAGAAGAAGATAGCTACATATGACCTTTGGGCACAAACGGAACGCTTGAAATGTAACAATGCTGTGAGTGAACTCCATTTAACGTGGAACAAAGAGCTGAATAAGCTGACACAGTATAACAAGTACGCTATTTATTGATTGTTACTAACGTTTATAATTAAGTCGTTGTGACGACATGCCTTCATTTAGACACCTCGAATAATTGTTTTTCTTTGCCAATTAAAATCTGACAGTCATATATATAAGTAATAATGGAGTTATAGCGTCAAGAAAAAGGACGCTGGCTACGGTAGAAAGAAAACACATAAAATTCATTTGTTTATGTGAACTCGAAAAGCGAGTAAATAAATATTTTGGTTTATATTTTGAATTTAAATGAACAGAGAACAGAAAACGCAACAAAGTCGACTGAATAAGAGTTCCCACAATGGTCAAGTGACGTCAGAAGATACACCATTACTGACGTCAGGGTCATCAGGAAAAAGGCAACATCTACAGTATGATGAGAAAATTCAGCCACCGCAGCCATCCCTATTCAAGACAATATTCAAAACCTACGGCCTTTTGTGGCTCCAGTGTAACACCCTTAAAGCCCTTTCCGACCTCTGTCTTCTGTCACAGCCAGTCATTCTCAAGTAAGTATTGAGAGAGTGAAGGTTGCAATCCAGTATAACTTCATTATTTAAATAATGAAATGACAGGATCACTTGAGAGGTTTTTGTTAATATTGTTTAAAGATTACTTAGGTTATCTCTGATCTGTTTACCTGCTGCATCTACCGACTGAGATTTTGACTTCTCTTTCGGTCACTTTATTGTTTTCCTCAGTCGTCTCTTAGACTTCATAATTTAGAATCACTGACGAGTCCTAGTGGGGACGAAAATGTTGTATGATGTAGCATCACTGACTAGTCCTAGTGGGGACGAAAATGTTGTATGATGTAGCATCACTGACGAGTCCTATAAGGACGAAACAGCTGTGTGATGTAGTATCACTGACGAGTCCCAGAAAGACGAAACAGCTGTATGATGTAGCATCACTGACGAGTCCCAGAAGGACGAAACAGCTGTATGATGTAGCATCACTGACGAGTCCCAGAAGGACGAAACAGCTGTATGATGTAGCATCACTGACGAGTCCTAGATGGAGGAAACAGCTGTATGATGTAGTATCACTGACGAGTCCCAGAAGGACGAAACAGCTGTATGATGTAGCATCACTAACGAGTCCTATTGGGGACGAAAAGGTTGTATGATATAGCATCACTGACGAGTCCTATATGGACGAAACAGCTGTGTGATGTAGTATCACTGACGAGTCCTACAAGGACGAAACAGCTGTATGATGTAGCATCACTGATAAGTCCCAGAGGGACGAAACAGCTGTATGATGTAGCATCACTGACGAGTCCCAGAAGGACGAAACAGCTGTATGATGTAGCATCACTGACGAGTCCTAGATGGAGGAAACAGCTGTATGATGTAGTATCACTGACGAGTCCCAGAAGGACGAAACAGCTGTATGATGTAGCATCACTGACGAGTCCTAGTGGGGACGAAAACGTTGTATGATGTAGCATCACTGACGAGTCCTATATGGACGAAACAGCTGTGTGATGTAGTATCACTGATAAGTCCCAGAGGGACGAAACAGCTGTATGATGTAGCATCACTGACGAGTCCTAGAAGGACGAAACAGCTGTATGATGTAGCATCACTGACGAGTCCTAGAAGGACGAAACAGCTGTGTGATGTAGCATCACTGACAAGTCCCAGAAGGACGAAACGGCTGTATGATGTAGCATCACTGACGAGTCCTAGATGGAGGAAACAGCTGTATGATGTAGCATCACTGACGAGTCCTAGAAGGACGAAACAGCTGTATGATGTAGCATCACTGACGAGTCCTAGAAGGACGAAACAGCTGTATGATGTAGCATCACTGACGAGTCCTAGAAGGACGAAACAGCTATGTGATGTAGCATCACTGATGAGTCCCAGAGGGACGAAACAGCTGTATGATGTAGCATCACTGACGAGTCCTAGATGGAGGAAACAGCTGTATGATGTAGCATCACTGACGAGTCCTAGAAGGACGAATCAGCTGTATGATGTAGCATCACTGACAATTTTGTGTTTTGATGATGATGATAATGAAGATGATGATGATAATGATGATGATGATGATGATGATGATGATGATGATGATGATGATGATGACATGACAATTTTGGTGTTTTGATGATGATGATAATGAAGATGATGATGATAATGATGATGATGATGATGATGATGATGATGATGATGATGATGATGATGATGATGATGATGGTACGGATGGTAATATGGATAATGATACATGTGAGGATGATGATGATGATGATGATGATGATGATGATGATGATGATGATGATGATGATGATGTCATATGGTTGAATGTTGGTATGTGTGTAATATCTTATTATTTTATGTATCATGCATAATTTTAAAAAATAAAAATTAAAAAAACCAACTGTTTAGATATGTTATTTACAAATGTGTCTATTGTACAATCCTTAACATTTGTCTATGTTGATTTTGATAACGTGATCCACCCACCTTATTTCACAGACCAGTTAGAGAGAGACATCTGTATGCCGCAGTTTTATTCATTCTTTATACTACTTTATACCTGTAATGATGTTAAAAGGTACTGTTCATCTGTATTTATATTTTACATCGTACGTGAGATCGTAACAATCATTATTGACATAAATTGTACAAAAGACACGTAGGTTAATGATATAAATAAAAAATTAGTACGGTAGATGCGTTCACTTCCGGTTTCGTCGGTGATTCCTGGTCCATGTGAACATTTCGATTTCTTCTGACAACGAATATCAGTGTATTCTGTTTAGAAACAAAATGTTTATTTATAGAAGTATGTAAATAGAGCAGAGAGTGAGTCTGTAAACATTATTGTTTTGATTTACACGTAATCATTATTGTTACATTTTACCAAAATCCAATGTTTTCTTCAAATTGTATTATGTCATCAATAAATTATATTGTATTATGTCACCAAAAAACTATATTGTATTTTTTCATTAATAAATTATATTGCATTATTTCATCAGTAATGTGTAATGCGGATATTTTTTCACAGGTATATTGTGATATACGTCGGTAACAAAGGCGAGCCGGGTTACCCTACATGGAACGGTGTGATGCTGGCATTCTTGTTCTACGCCGCCTCGCAATGTAACACGTTTATGTATAACGTCAGTACGCATCTGGCGCTTACCCTCGCTCTCAGAATCAAAAGTGCTCTGATTGGAACTATTTATAGAAAGGTGAGTTTGTAATTAAAACGATAATAAAGATAGATTCATGAGTATACCTTAATCAATATGTACAACACCATTCTGCGCAAGTCAAGTAATTTCATATAAGCACAATTACTTTTATTTTGATGGACGACTTTGATCAAAATAGTGCGGATATCAATAAAGTTTTTTTTAGATATTAACGACGAGAATATTTTTTGATTGGTCTATCTATATACCCATATACAATGTACTGTAATCACGTGATTGCTAAAATGGTGACATGTATCAAACTATGTTACAATCATTTGTTGTCACGTGCCTATTTTTTTTATTTCAGGCATTAAGAATGGATAATAGTGTGAAAAAGGATTACACTGTGGGACAGATCGTGAACCTGATGTCTGTTGATTGTCAGCGGATACAGGATTCATTTATATTCTATAATTTCATACTGCCATTTTTTTCATCTATGGCTATCAGCATATACGAGATATCGGACGCCGTCGGCGAAAGTATAATTCCTTGCCTGGTTGTCTTGGCACTGTTCATATCGTCGAATATAATTCTCGGACGATTTCAGCAGCGATATCAACTTAATATACTTCAAAATAAAAGCTCGAGGATGAAACTGTTTAACGAGGTTTTAGGAGGAATCAAGGTAATATCACAATTAATTCTTATAACATAATATAATATAATATAACATAGTATAATATAATATAATATAATATAATATATACTATAATATAATATAATATGATATAATATAATATAACATATAAATATAATATAATATAATATAATATAATATGATATAATATAATATAACATATAACATAACATAACATAACATAATATAATATAATATAAACTCCAGATAGTAGTACATTTTAAAAGACTTAGGCATTATTTTCTTTTTTTATGTTACTGGGAAACAACTTAATTTTCTCCCGGAAACGAAACAGTCGTATTTTTGCAGATATCTCTTTATATGTATATTTACGTTAAGAATGAAACACACGTAAAATATGAAGATAAAGCTATTGTATATTTTATCTGAATAAGGATAGAATATTTACATAAATGGAATATAAATATAGATTAGAATAATCAAAGGAACACAATATTACATTAAAAAGACTGTACAAAGACACTCGAGTAAACAGCACGTTTCTTTCCATACTTAGAGTTATGTCCCTTACATCCAATTGATGACCTGTATCATACACTTCTTCTTTCCAGCTCTCGTAACTGATTTTAAAAACATAAAACGATAAAAAATCACTATTATGATAATTTCACTAGTTGTCAGTTTCGTATTGAAGACTTTTCATTGTGACACACTAACACCAAATTTAATACACAGGTCTTGAAGATGTTTGCCTGGGAGAGTATATTTAGTAAAAAGTTGATAAATATACGTGACAAAGAAATCAAATTCCTCAAAAAGTTTGCTGCCGTTTCTGCCTACACGGTTACTCTCTCGGTACAGAGCCCCATCCTGGTGAGTATCGTCTTTCTGAATGATAATTTATTCTGATTACTTGTGGTTGTATTAGTTAAAATGGTTGGTTATATCTCTGTTGTAGTAGTTAAAATGGTTAAGTATATCTCTGTTGTATTAGTTAAAATGGTTAAGTATATCTATCAGTTAAAATTTATCACAGTTGTATCAGTTAAAATGGTTAAGTATATCTCTGCTGTATCAGTTAAAATGATTAAAAAAGTATATCAGTATTCTACCCCTTATATACATCAAACGTCTTTTCATACAGAGTAATGTGTCTGTTTATATAATCATATTGACATCAGTGTATAGTTTTAGATTTATCCTTCGAATGAAATGATGTACTGTAAGAGAAGCAGTACACTAAATTTTGTTATTTTCAAGAGCGCCTAATTTTCGCTATTCTAAAGGACAGAATAAAATACGAAAGAAGACACGCTGAAAATGAACTTGGCAGAGTAAATCATAGCTGATTACAAGGCTTCTGTAAATAATGCATACTTGTGGTTTAAACATTAAGGCCAGAATTGAACTGTAGGGAAAAGTGTATGGTATTCTAAATTGTGTAATATTTAACCTTTGCCATATGGAAAATGAAATTAGGTATTTGATAATATAAAGAATATATATATATATATATGTATATATTATGTTTGCCCTAGCTGTCGGCTGTGGTGTTTCTTAGCTTTGTGATTGCCAATCCGTCCAAGCATCTAGACGCTGCTGATGCCTTTCAGGTGCTATCTGTAGTCAACTTCCTGCGCTACACAATATCATTCGTACCCTACATCATAACGGCAATTATACAGGTAAACACACAGGTGTCCTTGTAACCAACATCCAGCACTACACAGTATTCTGTCTACCATATCTGTTAATGGCAATTATACAGGTAAACACACAGGTGTCCTTGTAACCAACATCCAGCACTACACAGTATTCTGTCTACCATATCTGTTAATGGCAATTATACCGGTAAACACACAGATGTCCCTGTAACCAACATCCATCACTACACAGTATCCTGCATACCCTATCTGTTAATGGCAATAATACAGGTAAGTACACAGGTGTCCCTGTAACCAACATTCATCACTACACAGTATTCAGTATACCCTATCTCTTAATGACAACTATACAGGTAAACACACAGGTGTCCCTGTAACCAACATCCATCACTACACATTTATCTGTATACTCTATCTCTTAATGGCAATTATACAGGCAAATACAAAAGCTATAACTGTAACATGTGTGTGGTATATATGAATCACAAACAGGTGTTTCGACAATGATAACAAATCTTAAACAGTAATTAGAGTATTGAATGTTTTGATGAGCATTGAATGAAATGACGTTCTAAAGTTATATTTACTGTAAATATATCACCTTAAGATACATCACTCTATTTTATCAGGTCAAAATTAAATTTTCATGTTTTTTTATTCTATTTTTTTATTCATTTATTTTTGTTGCTGGAAGCACAACCTGAAATTTTAATAATACAAACCATTTCTACTTATTTATAGTGTGTTATGCGAGTCCACGTGCAAATATTAGACGAAATGCAGGAAAATTTGGGGTCAAAATGACGTCATGTCAATATTCTATAATAGACCGTTTTTCCCCATTTCAAAAGTGTAACGAAAAGAAAATCCAAATGTTTCCCGATAAATATCATATATAATTCACTCGTATGAAAGGTTATATCTAATACCTCTTGAATTATGTGTGATATTAAACGGAAAAATAACAAATATCTTCAATGGTTGTGAAAAAGTCAAACAACTGTATAGCACCATTTGATAAAAGTTACAGTAGAGCTAAACAATTAATATTACAGCATTCCACAGTTGTTTTGTCTTTCTATGCAATCAGTTTGATTCTTTTTATTTATTATCGACGTAAATCTAAAATGTCCAGTTACATTTCGTTCTCTTTAGTTCTAAAATACCAATGAATTACAGTGAAGAGTTAAGATATACACTAGCAATCGCAAGGGGAAGTTTCATTCAAATGTCATTAAATGTTTATTGATAAAAAAACAGAATATCAGGGCAATACTAAATCTGTATTTTAGCTGTGAAAGTAATGAGCGGAATAGATATTTTTTCAAATCACTAAAAACAACATGACTTGCAATATATTCTTATCAATTTTTGTATCCTTTTCTTACAGAGTCGAGTGTCCATAGGAAGAATACAGCGGTTTTTGTGGAGTGAGGACATCAGTACGGATAATGTTCACCGTGTCACTGACGCTGGTATGTAAACAATAACAACATGAAAATACCACAAAGATCAAGAAAACATAAAAGACAATACAGATATGTTAACGAAATTCAAACATAAGTTCAATGAAAAAAAAATAAAAGTATGAATTAAAAAACGATTCGCAAGGGGACTCCCGTAAACGAACAGGGGAATAAGGCCATGAGCTCCGGATTGGTAAGCGTCTTCTGCTTCACTGACGACACCTGGCATACGAATCTATTCAAACTTTAAAGTTGAGGAAACTATCGAACCGAATAGTTTTTCTTCTTATTTCTTGTTATTGTCGTCCTCTCTAGTCAGAGCTGCCTATTAGAATTTCGACACAGCCAACAGCAGCAGAACACAGAATCAAACACAAGAAAGTAACCAAACCCTTTCATTTTCTCAAAAAAGATGGCAGGAAAATAAAAATATATTCCAATCTTATCAAAAAAATATCAATTGTATAATAAACGCATTTTTAAATTAATTTTGTGATTAACACTGTCTTGGTATCTTAACCCAGATGATGCTGTTTCTGTTAAGAATGGTTCATTTACCTGGGACATCGAATCCACTGTACCAACTCTCCGCAAGTAAGTAACCTATGCTTATGTAATCATTCAAAGGAGTGCATTGTTGTTTATAATATATTTGGTTGAGAATATTACTTTTAGATATGATGTATAAAGAAAAACAAGGGTGTAAAAATAATCTTTTTTATCCGAAACCTAACTGTACTACTCAGCTACCAGATGCTTGAGACCGTGTTTGTTTGTCATTATAAAACGCTGTGGAATGCCTGATATACTTATGATAAAGGTACTGGTGTCAGAGAGTTTGGGGCTCTAAAAACGCGTGACATTTCAGTATTGTCAGTTTGGTAGGTGAGAGTTGGTTGCGGTGGTGAGACTCTCGAAAGGCGTGATTTTTCAGTATTGTCAGGTTTGGTAGGTGAGAGTTGGTTGCGGTGGTGAGACTCTAACAATGTGTGATTTTTACATATTGTCAGGTTTGGTAAGGGAGTGTTGGTTGCGGTGGTGAGACTCTCGAAAGGCGTGATTTTTACATATTGTCAGGTTTGATGAGGGAGTGTTGGTTGCGGTGGGGAGACTCTAACAATGTATGATTTTTACATATTGTCAGGTTTGGTAAGGGAGTGTTGGTTGCGGTGGTGAGACTCTAACAATGTGTGATTTTTCATTGTCTACGTTTGGTAAGGGAGAGTTGGTTGCGGTGGTGAGACTCTAACAATGTGTGATTTTTCATTGTCTACGTTTGTTAAGGGAGTGTTGGTTGCGGTGGTGAGACTCTAAGAATGTGTGATTTTTCATTGTCTACGTTTGGTAAGGGAGTGTTGGTTGCGGTGGTGAGACTCTAAGAATGTGTGGTTTTTCATTGTCTACGTTTGGTAAGGTAGAGTTGGTTGCGGTGGTGAGACTCTAAGAATGTTTGATTTTTCATTGTCTACGTTTGGTAAGGTAGAGTTGGTTGCGGTGGTGAGACTCTAAGAATGTGTGATTTTTCATTGTCTACGTTTGGTAAGGGAGTGTTGGTTGCGGTGGTGGGACTCTAAGAATGTGTGATTTTTCATTGTCTACGTTTGGTAAGGGAGTGTTGGTTGCGGTGGTGAGACTCTAAGAATGTGTGATTTTTCATTGTCTACGTTTGGTAAGGGAGAGTTGGTTGCGGTGGTGGGACTCTAACAATGTGTGGTTTTTCATTGTCTACGTTTGTTAAGGGAGAGTTGGTTGCGGTGGGGAGACTCTAACAATGTGTGATTTTTCATTGTCTACGTTTGGTAAGGGAGAGTTGGTTGCGGTGGTGAAACTCTAACAATGTGTGATTTTTCATTGTCTACGTTTGGTAAGGGAGAGTTCGTGATGTTATTGAGACTTTAACAACGTCTGTTGTTTTCAGTATAAACGTTTGAGTATTGGTGAGGGTGAATTGGTAGCGGTGATTTCAACATAACACAACATGATATATATTTTTTCAGTATTGACTTGAATATTGGTGAGGGCGAATTGGTAGCTGTGGTAGGACTAGTAGGGTCTGGTAAATCTTCGCTTCTATCTGCACTCCTTGGCGAGATGTCAAGGATACACGGCCGCGTTGCACTTAAGGTAGATATTATACAACCATAGCTGTTATATAACTGAAAAACTACTTCACTTAAAATTATTCATGATAATATCCTAACAGTAATTTACAAGAGCTATTTACGATGTCAAAACATTGCACAGAAAATAAAACAAATATTGTGTTCAGTATGCAGTTGTTTCATTTTTGTCCAATTCAATTGTGTTGTTAAAGACCAAAAGGCAGACATTATGTTTAGTCCATGTTTCATGTGGTATTTGAGTTATTATATCGCTGTCATGTTGATCTCATTTCAATTTCTAAGAAGGCTCAATTTATAATAGAGGTCAATTTCATGAAAACGGGAAAAATAAAATTTATTATTATTTATAATGATCAATTGATCTAACATACCACATTTAAAAATTATGCAAAAAATTGGGTCAGTGATGAATCAAGTTTGCGTCGCTAATTTGAATTTATGTAAGTATATACAATTTAATACTGAATTCAAGGGTACGACGGCGTATGTACCTCAGGAAGCATGGATACAGAACATGACCTTGAAGGACAACGTCTTGTACGGTAGTCAATACCGGAACAGGCGTTACCGTAAAGTCATCAAGGCGTGTCAACTACTTCCGGACCTTGCCATACTCTCCGCCGGGGACCAGACTGAAATAGGGCAGAGGGTAAATCGGTCAAAATTATTATACGAATCTATTTGAATCATATATCTTTGAGAAATTTGCCATAGACTAGTATGTGAAATATCTGGAATTGTTTTAAAGCAAAGATTTCAATTTGTGGAAGTGATTAAAGAATACGGTGAAATAATCCTGAGTCACATACCTGTGTAATTGATAACCTCTTACTGGTTTAGATTATTAATATATAGATTTGTCAAACCTTCAAAACTTTTATCCAAATCTAAATCATTCAGGAGATGAGGAATTTCATAGGTTGAAATACTGCAGCTTTATGTCCGAACGAGAATACCGCTAATTGATACAAATTTATCTCGCTACAAAGGTCACAGTCCACACCTTTATTTGATGTTCATTAAAAAAAATTTAACATTTAAAATTAAGACCGATAAGAATTCTGGGAACTGGTTTTTTACCTTAAGTTTGACCTTTTTGGATTTTCCGCAGTCATCGCCATGGTTTCAACACTTTCAGCCATTAGTGTCCTAGAAGGACGAAAGAGCGGTACAAGATTCTTAATTTGTATCAATTCACTTGTGTATCTTTTGTCCAATGTTTGATGATACTGAGACATTATTTCTTGATTTTAATTTTAAATAGGGCATAAACCTGAGTGGTGGTCAGAAACAGAGGGTTAGTTTAGCTAGAGCAGTGTATAGCAACTCAAGCATATACTTACTGGACGACCCGCTCAGCGCAGTGGACAGTCACGTGGGCAAAGCCATCTTTGACAAAGTGATTGGCAATGACGGGTTACTTAAAGGAAAGGTAACCATTCTATAGCATCACATTAAAATGATACTATATTTAAGATTTAACCTAACCAAAGTCACTCGTGTATTACGAGTTCATGAACTGCCAACATATCAGAAATGTTGTAAGTGATAAGCTCAAAACGGGAAATAGTAAATAAAAACATTGAAATGATATCTGTTGACATTCATGGACTATCAATGCAAACTAGATAACGGTATATGAAGGGCTAACGCTAATGAACGCCTCATGAAAGCAGTTCAACACTTAAGTAATCCACAGCATGTATCTCGCCTTTCAACACAACTGCAAACAATTTTTCCTGTGTGAAAGGTTTATTGATATATACATAAAATCCGGTCCGGTCCGGTCGGTCCGGTCCAGTCCAGTCTCCGGATCCCTAATCTAGTCATTCCTTTAATTACACATGTTGTGTATTTAAGTCATTGTCCTTTAATCACAGAAAATAAGATATTTAAAAACTCCCTGATTCATGTCTGTCTTATTTTAGAAATGTCTGTGTTACTGTGTTAATGCAATAAACATTAGACATTCCAGACTTTTAACTCTAAGTCCGTCCACTGCACATGGTTTCCATTTTTAAGCCCCCTCTCCCTTGATTTGCAGCTATGTATTTATCACTGATTTTATCACTTACTGTGCTTTGCAAAATCGTTATTCAAATGTTGTCGTAAGACGCTGACTTATTTAGAAATGCGTATCAGGCCAGGCAACTAAATTCTTTCAATGATTCAATGAGAAAAACACTAAATACAAAGTGACGACGTTTCTTATTACAATGCAGACGCTTACTATTCCGGAACGCTTGGTTTTGATTTCTTACAAGCTGTGAAGGGTCCTTATATTAATCTGTTTATTCTACAGTATAATTTGATCGAATTTGGTCAGTATAATGTTATTGGTATTAATAACCGTGATTACAAGAACAATATCATATTGAGATTTTTGAGAAAAATAGTCAGGAGTGTTTAGGAAAAGCTATTGCTCTTTTGTCCTCATAGAGTGGTATGAGATCCTCAATTCATCGCTTTTGAGGTGAGTTGTGATTCTATTAACGCTATTGTCTTGTTATTTTTGTTTCATGTTTCATGATCATGTCATACATTACAGACACGGATCCTTGTGACACATGGAGTTCATTGGCTACCAAATGTTGACAAAATCATTGTCATGGACGATGGTCGTATTACAGAGGTTGGTAGTTATGAACAGCTGCTGGAGAACAATGGCGCTTTTTCTAAGTTTCTAAATACATTCTTATTGAGGGAAGATTCGGACGACGACGAATCGGATGAAGAAGGTAATTAAACTTTACACTTAAACATAAAACAGTACAAAAACATTAAAATGTAATATAGTGAAATGTTTAAGTCCCCACTGGTTTGGGGAGATTTAAATAATATTTTGCCAAGTGTATCATTACGTTCTACTCTTGAAAACGTGTTCGTTGGTGAAGACTAAAGGGTCATAGGTCAAATTTGTAAACGTCTGAACTTTGAACCAAAGTGATACCTATAAACGTGGAAACTGTGGAAGGCATCTCTGCCTGATATTTTCTACCTTATATTTATGTTTGTGTTCTGTTTCAGTTGTTCTCATCTCAGATGATAAATTTGATAAAAAAACAAGTTGTCTCTCTTTAAAGATCCTTAAGAATCTGTCGACAGTTTGTTGTAATTAGGTTTTCCTATATTGAGGATAGTTTGCATTTATATCATCATGGCATGTATTTCCAAATATGTTCTGATCATTTCCCAGAGAGAAATAATTTATCATCTACCAATTCCCTTCGTATTGGATGATTAAAAACTTCATTAGCCAAAACATTTAACGCCGTTAGTTATGTCTCATCCATAAATATCCCATTCAAAAACTTATCATTGACGCTCATATAAAAAAAATAATATTCAAAGAACGCATTCTTACAATCCTGATATATGACTTTTTACATCTTAACGTTGTTTATTGTGAACAAAAACTATACTGCGGAGCTAATATTGCTTGTATATTGCTAGAGTAAATGTGTTAATACAATAACGTTTTATTCGAAGCCTGTGTAAAACATTAATTTTCCCTTTTTATATTTAATGTTGTTTTTGTCGTATTATAAAATATGTTATTCTGTGTAACGTATGTAGAGCGAAGGCTTACAATGTATACAGCGTATGTCATTTTGACCACAGTGCGGCTAATTAAAGAACGCATAAGAGAGCGGATGGACCAGGTGACGTCAGACGGTCTGACGTCAGACGATAACATGGTAATGGACGGCTTAACAAAAGTCCACAAGTGAGTAGTTAATTTGAGTTGATTTATTTGTTTATTTGATTAATTGTTTATTTATTTTATGGATGGATACACTTATTCTAGGAAACGTTTGCTGCAATTTCACTCTTTTTTAGCAGGATGTAATAAACGGGTGGCTAGGATTTTAAGTTAAATCTGAAATATATCCTTATGCTTCTAATGTGAACACTGGACAAAGATATAATAATATAATTTGAGGAAGTGAGCATTAACCCTGGGCGAATGTTTCCCTATATTCAGTGTAAAAAACAAACAAACAAAAAACACAGGTAAAATTATATAATCACTGCATTCATCACTTAAGGACTGGACCACATACTAATTTCCATTCTTATTTTAAACAGACAACTATTAAACAGAGTAACACTTTATATCGTTAAATAGGTGGAGAATATATGTGGACGTCATACGAAAAATGTCTTTTTAAATCATCCGGGGTAATTCCTTCGTCAAGTCGTCAAAATGAAATATTCTGATAACAATTCAATGCAATAACATTTGAGTTGATATTTCTCAGTGATTTTTAAGCTTGTACAAGTTACCAGCTGTCTTACTTTGTTTTCCAGGAAATCCCTGAGGAAGCGGACTGTCAGTACCACATCAGCTACAACTGTCGAGTCGCTTATGTCCCTGTCAAAATCGTTCCTAAAGTGTGACGAGGAGCAAAGATTTACATCCGGGCGTCTAATTACAGAGGAAACAACCAAAGAAGGAGTGGTTTGTGTACTACTAATTACAATGTGGATAATTATAAACATAATCTATCACGTAATTTGTAATGTTTTCAACTGATTCTTAGCAAATGAATGATATTACAAGCACTACATTAAAGCATTTACCAGTTTATGAAGTGAACAAAGGGACGTAACTCGTCTCTAATCGTAAATGTCGTGTTTCAGTGTAATGAGATTTGTCTGATGTTTGTCATCCTTTATCGGCAGATAACTGTGAAATAATCTACAAGACGTAAAGAAGCAGCCATAACTTTAATTTTCGCTCGTGCAACTGTTCTCCTAATTCATTGAAAGAGTCTCTCTCTCTCTCTCTCTCTCTCTCCCCCTCTCTCTCTCTCTCTCTCTCTCTCTCTCTCTCTCTCTCTCTCTCTCTCTCTCTCTCTCTCTCTCTCTCTCTCGTATATTATCACTGTTTATGGTATAATTGATGATATTATTTGTGCACGTGGCAATTAAACATATAATCCTTAATGAAAAAAAAATAGTTTGGTTGAACTTATGTAGAACGGTCAAAACTTTACTGAAAACCTGCAAGCCATATTTTAATTCATTCGTGACACAGTTCACAATATACACATGTACTGGAGAGTGGTCTAAAATTATCTAATATATGAATTTATGTACGTTATTGAATTATGGGGCACATTAACCTCCCAATTTAGACTTTGCTCCTTAGATTACTTTGAATTTTCATTAGTCATAGACTTCAAAATGAAGACCCTTGACATCACTGATGAGTCCTAGAAGAACAAACGAAATAGCTGTATGAGGCATTTTGATTCATTGTTTGGTTCTGTTGTATCTAATTCTAAATTTGTATTTAGAGGTGGTGTCCGCGTGTGTGTTTTTATACTATACTCAAGGGATAAAGAAACTCGAGGTGACATTTATGTTGCGAACGCGTTGTTCAAAAACAATGAAAATAGGTAAAGAATCTCTCTAGGTTACCGTGCACGTGGTCTTGTATCGAATGTTGGGACAATGTCGTACACAGCAGTGTTGTGACATTGAGTTACACTGCTTGTCAGACCATGTCGCATCATTTTCCGATATATTGATTGATCTGTGATAACATTAAACAATGACACGGCTCATTGAAGTTCAGAGGGGTCAGGCCATTGCGATGATTATGCAAGGTCAAAGACAAATACATGTTGCCAGAAAATTCAATGTCCCTATTTCCACTGAAGAACGTCTTGTTAGATGTCTAAGGGAAATTGGGCGGCTTGCTGACAAACCTACCTATAGGTGTCACAACGTCAGGACAGGTTTATTTGTCTCGCAATCGGCACCTTACTGCCACCGAATTTGTCCTTCATTCAATAGGTACTCATAACCGTCCTATCCACACAATAACTGTAAGGAAACGATTTCGGGAAGTTGGTCTGCGGGTACGTCACCCATTTATAGGTCTGCCCCTTACCGCTCCTCGTCACCAGCATCGTATGGCTTAGGTGGCGGCACATGCCACCGGCATATTCCCATTGAGACTGTGGAGGCAGGTCTTGTTTACTTGTGAATCATGTATACCGACGTCGTGGAGAACATTGTGCAGACTGCCATGTAGTAGAGACGTATAGGTTTAGGGGTGAATCCGTTGTAGTGTGGGGAGGAATCTCACATGGAGTTAAATCAACAGTGGTTGTGGTAACGGGTAATTTAACTGCCGCTAGGTATAGAGATGCGATTTGTCGACCCCATGTTGTTCCATTATTGCAGCGAAACAACATCACATTACAGCACGATATTTCTCGGTCCCATGAAGCGAGGATCTGTCGCAACTATCTCATCAATAATATCCACCCACTGGACTGATTGCCATACAGCACGGACCTTTCCCCTATAGAGCACTTGTGGGACCACCAAATACAAGCTGAATAAGACCAGGTGTTCAGAAAGGGCAAGAATATTCTTCTACATCGACAATTTCCGCCATGTTAAGTTTGGACAATCTAAGTAAAGAATGTCAAGTTCTCAAATGAGAACAAACTTTATCTATACAGTGCGTACAGGTTGTCAGTCGAGCTGCGATGTGCACTCTACGTATATGTTTTCTCTATTAGACTGGTGAGCGGCTGGCAAATTACTTTGTTATACATATTTTCCTGTAATCTATATTAAACCGGTGAGCTGGATGGTGGTTGTACTTCACATACGTTTTCGTTATTTTATACAAGAGCTGACGAGTGTACCTTACTTTTCTTTATTTTTATAGATGAGCTGGCGAGTGTACCTTACTTTTCTTTATTTCTACAGGTGAGCTGGCGAGTGTACTTTGAGTACATGAAGGCTATGGGTGTCATGGTGACAATTCTTTCAATAGCCTTGCTAGCAGCATCACAGACATTAGGAGCCTTGATCAATTTCTGGATAGACTTCTGGACGTCAGATGTTGGTACTCTCCCGAACTTCAATGTAACGACAAACTCCACGGATACGGATGGTGAAGATTTTACCGACAAAAACACTTACTACATCACAACCTTCTTCATCATCGGTCTGTCACAAGGTAACATTAATACAATCATAATCTATAGTATTGTAGTTGTTATTTTGCCCTGTTACAACAGATCAATGTTTTTGCTCGTGCCTCGCTTGCATCGTTATCTCAATTATTCCATATTTGGTATGATCAATTAAATGTTCATTGCTGTTTAATGTTTTGAATATTATACCTATACAAATTATATTCATTGTTTTGTTTCTGTTTTGTTTGGATTTTTTCGGTGGGGGTGTTGTTATTTATTGATTTTTTTTCTTTGGGGGGATTGTTTAGATACTTTAGATAACAACTCTGCATTGTTTTCAAAATTATCATTCATAGCATATGTAAAAAATGTATTGTGTGAAAAGTAGGCAAATCACTGATTACATTCAAGGTGTAAAAAAGCGAATATCATTTATTGTCAATGTTTCCTAAAGCAACACTTTCTTGTTGTGTAAAAAATAATGTTGGCATTGCGCTAACACTCATATAGTCTTTGGTATTATTAGAGGACAGGTGACAATATCATCCATCCTCTTTATTGCCTTCAAAATGAAGAGTACCAAAGAAATGGAATATGTATACAAAACATTCAGAACATCTATACACGATTACATAATAGACAATACATTTATACCTCACATACACGTGTGTACATCAGGTTATAGAACATAGTATTCACAATATCCTTAAAGATTCATTATATTGTAATGAGACTATTAAATCAACTTTTTAGTTAAATATATCTAGAGTACACGCATAGTACGAAGTATAGAAACATGATATCGTATGTAATAATAATTAAGAGTGTTTGCGACGATAAGACAATTTTGTCTTTGCGCCATGGTATTCCTTGAATATATCCAATTGACTGAATAATATTTCTGTCCATTAAAATATTTTAAGGACATATGTTTTAAATTGTTTTCTGGTATTCTTTAGAGGCAAAATGTATCCAAAACCTACAAAAGATATATGTTTGGAGGTAACACTGCTGTATTTGATTTGTCCGAATTTTGATACTCATCATGCTGTTTTAGAGGGGTTTTGACGAAAATCTGAAAAAAAAAATTAAAACGGGTTTGAATAGTTTTAATGGAAAGCCCCGTAACACCTTTTATTTATAAAACGATTTTATAACATATTTCGAAAAAATATTTCAGAAAAATGTTGCCTGTTGTTTAAAAATTATGCAATACTGTCGTGATAATTTAATGAATGTTTTGATTTCTGTTACAACAGGAATTGCCACGTTCTTGTTCACGATCCTGTATCTCTTCCGGATGGTTCGAGCGAGCCAGTACTTCCACTCCACAATGCTCAAATGCATTTTACGTTCACCGATGTCTTTCTTCGATACGACACCCATTGGTAGAATACTGAACAGGTTCTCCAGTGACCTTGACATCATTGATGACCGACTCCCAAGGACATTTAGACTATTACTTTATTACTTATCTAACTTACTTGTAACGTTTATCGTTATTGGTATACAGACACCAGAATTCCTGATTGCTATCATCCCGGCAGGAACCCTATTTATCGTCCTATTGGTAAGAAGTTAACATTATTAATTGTTTGTCACTCCTCTGAGGTAAATTTGCAACCACAACCCCGTTGAATATATAAACAGGGTTCGTTTTTAACGTTGCAAATGGCCCCCGTTTTCATTTTGTCACGCGTTTCCATTTCCAGTTCATACAACTTATCTTGGTTAGAACAACCATATGTTATTTTGGTGTTCATGACAACAATCTGATACTTTGTATGTACTAACGCTTTAGTTCACGGTGCCTTGACGTTAAGTTCAATCGTTTTGACAATCTTGATGTTTGACAATAGCCGCTTTATTTACATTAGATACATGCACCATAGGCACGAAAATGTATTTCTATCTTCCTTTATTATACAATTGTCCTTGATAAATACCTTTTTCTAGAAGTTTGTTCTCCATTTCTAATTTTCTTTTTTTTTTCATTTCCATAGAAATTCTATTTGCCGACTGCTAGGCAGCTGAAAAGGATAGAGTCAGTTACACGTTCACCAGTGTACAACCATTTCGGTGAGACGATCACGGGGGCCAGTGTGATCAGAGCCTACGGGTCTGTTGACAGGTTTATACAGGAATCAGAGAGAAGGCTTGACACCAATCTCGCCTTCTACCACGCTGCAAACAGCGCTTCTCGGTAACTGGTGATTAATATCTAATTTGTGATAAACGCTATCACTGAATAGGATATATTTACTAAAATTAGACTGTTACAATCAAAACTTATCGTTCCATACTTGGTATTAAACAATCATATATATGTCTTTGATAATGAGTTTTGACTCACTCTGTTACTGCTTTCTCTTGTAAGCATAGACTTGTTATAATAAATTGTTATACTGTAATGTACAACGATATTTACATTTTATGATTTCTTAATTAACCTGTTGCCCTAATGTAATCCTATTAAACACTGGTCGTATTCTGTAGCTTCGATCGGCTAAGCCAGAGGTCACAGGTTCGAACCTTATCTAACCTTCATTTCATTAATATTTTTCACGAAACACCAGTCAAGAACTGTGATACGGTCTAATATACTTCTGTGTTAGAAGACGTTGCAGCTCGGTTTGATAAAGACGTGTGATATTTGTTTTGTAGGTGGGTTGGGATTACTTCTGAATCTCTCAGTAATGCCCTGGTGCTGGTCGCCGCTTTATTTACAGTTTTATCTCCGACTGTGTCGGGCAGTGACGCTGGTCTCTCCTTGACCTACGCATCGCAGGTACTGTTGCTCTAATAACACCATATACAAGGCAGTTACTTTCAGGTTTTGTTTTATACCATAGATTTAATATTTTGTTAAGGAATCACAATTGAAGATATCTGTGACATAGAGAAGTATATACTGAACTGCGGAAATAAATAGATAAAGTCTTTTTATTATCAATAAAGAAAGTTGCGAAATATTTAAAATAACGGTTATTTCCGTACGCAAAACATGTTGACTGGTATAGATTTCTATTGATGGTTTTGATGACGTCTAAGGGACACAACTCTTACTACATTTGTTTTGTGTAACATGAATTAATGGGTGAGCGCTCTTATGTACACGGGTTATTGCTCGTAACAAAGTGTATTGTTTAGGAATACATATACTTTTATTCAGAAAAATAAAGGCATATCTAAATTTATTCTATAACCCATTTTATTTCTAATCAAGCCGTCATATTTTCTTTCCTACAGATAGTGACTGGTATTGCGGTCTGTGTTTACAGTGTTAGTGAAATGGAGATGAATATTGTATCGGCTGAGCGAGTGGAAGAGTACACTGAACTTTTTGCTGAGGTAGATAATAAATGAATAAAATAAAATGAATAAAATAAATAAATAAATAAATGAAATAAATAAATAATAGATAAATAAATATTAACAAACGAAAGCAACATGGTTTACATAATCATGTCAATCACAGCTGAAAACAAATATTAAATGTAACCTTTTTCATGTACGAATCTATTGGAAAAACCATACTTTATCACACCGATGCTTTTTTACATAGTGAGGAGTTAGCATGAGGATTTAGGGTACTCTGCTTACCACCTACACGATACAATTGTTGTTTTATCCAGTGTCGATAATAAAACGCAATCATAACCGTAAAATTCCAATGTTATTTCAAAATATCACATGATATTGACGTTTCGGTGTGTATTCTCTATTGGCCTTACCAACAACATTGATGTTTACACTTAGTTAAACGTCAAGTCTGACAAACTCTCTTACCAAAATGTGCCATTTCTTTATTTCACCAGTTGTCGGGCTGTTCCATCAATGCGGATTATACTTGATAAATGAAGATTATTATTACCGAAAACAAAACGAATCATTGTCAAAAATGAAAAAAATAAGAACGAAATATTTTTCTTTTCTTTGTTAAGAGAAGTGAAATTAATTTTTAACAGATTTTTTCAACAAAACAGCCTTCAGTGCGTCATTCAAAATGTCTGTACAACCAAAAGAATAAAAAAAGTTTCTTGATTAAATTAGGAAAATTCCGCTTTAATAATGCAAGAATCTATTTGTGGTTTTGCAAGGCGGAGTGGGAGAGCCCCGCCCATCGCCCTCACAAGACTTGGCCCGAAGATGGTGCCATACGGTTTAAAGATTATTCAACAAGGTACCGTCCAGGCCTGGAGCTTGTCCTTAACGGAGTTAGCTGTGTAATGCACGGTGGAGAGAAGGTGAGGTTGTTTGATGGAAAGTCAATTTATCAGATTCCAGCCTATCCAGACAGAATTCAGAGAAGGTGAGGTTGTTTGATGGAAAGTTAAGGGATCAGATTCCACACTATCCAGACAGAATTCAGATTGAATGTTTTGCTTTACAGGAATAAAAACATATGAATGGTAAATGTTTATCTACCTTGCTGGTTGGTTTCATGATAATAACAGAAAGTTTTTATTAACAACCGCGCTGCATGCAGGTAGATGATGAATTTTAAGCAAGAACTATTGTACAACAGGTGGGTATCGTTGGACGAACAGGAGCCGGGAAATCATCCCTCGTTCTGGCATTGTTCAGGCTTACTGAAGCAGCCTCCGGAAGTATCACCATAGACCAGAGGAGGATAGCCGACCTCGGTCTGCACGATTTACGACCCAGAATTACCATACTGCCACAGGTATATCTTTAACAGTCAAATCCCATTACCCTCAGAGACGTTCCGTAAATTGGATGTGAATTATATAACTCATAGATCAAGTTTCGTATAACTTAACATCTGACTCTTGGTCAATCCGCGACAATTTGCATAGGACAATAGAAATATCTGATATCATTGTCATTGTTCACTTTCAAAGACCTTGATATAAATCTGTTCCATAAATTGTATATTTACATTAAGATTCTGTTGGTACTTTCTTGTTGTTTTTTATTAAGAACTATGAATATACCATTGACATTCATGCTATGATTTTCATTTGATCATAATTCAGCCGTTTACTTCGTGCATTTCGGAACACTGTAAAATCATATATTTTCGATGGGGTCAATTTTCGTGGTCCAAAAATTAAAAAAAAAATAGACACTTGATTTACTGAAAAGGGATACTTAAACTTATTTTTACAGTTCTTGTTTAAATTCGAGTAATAAATGTACTTTCAAATTCAATGGAAAAAATCCCCCACGAAAATTAATTATTTTCCAGTCAAGAAATGACTTCTTGTTGCATTCCATCGGCTCTTTAAATATCAGGAATTGTAATGTCTTTATTCAGGATCCAGTAATATTTGCCGACTCCATCAGATCAAACCTGGATCCCTCAGATAATTTTTCTGATGAAGAGATTTGGCGAGCGTTGGAGAGTGCTCATCTGAAACAATTTGTTTCCGAGCAACGCGACACAATCTATTATCAATGTGGCGAAGGTGGTGTGAACTTAAGGTAAGAAATTAAAATAACCGCCCGTATAGTGGAAACATTTGAACTTCAGGTAATCACTATATGCATTAGGTAAGGTTAGGGAGATACAGGCTAACTAAGAACACGGAAAAGATCCCATTTGAATTGTTCCAGAGACACAACAGTGAAAAATACTTTTAAATACAAATGAAGCATTGGATACAGTAATGCATGATCACTAGTTACGTGGCATAATACAGTAATTAAGTAAACTAAGTGAACAATGCTAAGAACCTATAGAAGCAATTAAGCGATATAGCGATTGGTCAAAATTGATATAAGAAACTGATGAAAAGGTCGCTAAACCGAAAAATTCAATAAATTCCATTTCCTTGTGACGTTAGATAAGTTTGAAGCTCAATAGCATGTGACCTGGTACTTATTTGAGAGTCATGAAATTGTTTGCCTAGATTGCTAAAGATGAGCTTTGACGATTAAGTAAAAAACACCTTTTCGAAACTCTTCATCTTATCATCGTTCACATCTTTATTGTAACTATTCATGTTTCAAAAAAAAAACCAAGATATTGTAATGCTGTACCAATGTATCAGCGGTCTATTAACCCAAATAGATAATGAATTATTAATACTCTTCTTAATTCCTGTTATGTTTTTGCTGCAAACAAATACTGATCATTTTTATTTTTATACACAGTGTGGGACAGAGACAATTGGTATGTCTTGGTCGAGCTTTACTTCACAAGAACAAAATCCTGATCCTTGACGAAGCCACCGCAGCCGTCGATATGGAGACGGACGAGCTAATACAACAGACAATTAAAACAGAATTTGAGGAATGTACTGTTCTTACTATAGCTCACAGACTGAATACTATCATGGACTACGACAGGTAACTATAACACAGATTCCTACTAAAAATCAAGGTGATGGAGTACGACAGCCAAACAGCAAAAATATCAAAACAATATACAGATTATTTCTATAGCTCACTGTTGCAGCACTATTTAAGACTGTGATAGGCAACAACAATAATTATTTTTGTTTGCTGCGTAGTTTTTTTTTTTTTTTACTTTGTTCTAATTTGGGAACCCCTGAAGTTTCTAACTTTAATTGACCAAGATGTACACATCAGAAGTCATCGATGAAGAAGAAGACGCTTACGCTTCCGAAACGCCAGGTTCTATTCCTTTAAGTTTCATGAGTCTCCGTGTGAATCTTTATTTTATTCATAGTTTTGCCCCTGTTTCATCCAATTAGATTTTAAATTAAAATCATATTAACAAATCGATATTTCCTTTGCTATTTCTGTCGTACATAGACCGAACAACATATTGGACTTACTTTTACTTGCCTAATAGATTAAAAAGTATTGATTACTTTTTACCTGTGGCTTTGATATAATTAATCTTTCATGTACAACTGATATCACGTTTATTCATGGATGTATTCTTACGATCATCGAACTCATATGTCAACACAGCCTGTGAGATTTAACGTCTGGATTTTCTTTGAAATAGAAAATAAATATATAAACAATTATAAACCTATGTCTGAAAGACTTTTAGCACAATTTGAAAATAGAACAACTAGAAAACATCTACCTGTAAAAATGAAGAAAAAAATGAAATCAATATTCCTTTATTTCCTATGGGCTCAGTTGCTTAGCTTTAACATTGTGGTTTAACAATGAGGTTTGATGTATATTTATAATCGAGCGACAGAGTCCCCCACTAGTAAAACCGGGAAAACCGCGGTGGGGCTGGGACTTAAGACCCATAAGTGAATAGCACCTTTAAATAATTTAGAGTTACAGACAATATTTAAAATTTAGGTTTAACTGCATTATACAGTAGTTTAGTCCTTGTGAAGACTAGGAAGTTAAGAAATTTCAAGATTTTTTTTATCTATTTTGGTTTTGAACACTTAAACTATATGAATTGTTCATTATATTTTACATTATGTCTAACAGAGTTATGGTACTAGACAGAGGCCTGGTCGTTGAGTTTGATCGCCCACAGGTCTTGTTGGAGGACCGAAGATCAGTGTTCTATGGTATGGCAGACGATGCTGGCCTTGTGGACTGGTTTGAATCAGACAAAAACCATGATAGAATTATGACGAAAAATGGAAAAACGGCTAATATTTAGATATGTTTGAGGATATGGCAATATATTTGGTACTGACAGTAAACCCTTGTTGGACAATGTGTGCTTATTTAAGAAAGGGAATATTTTGAGTTATATATAGTTATTGCGAGGGAAGCAGCGACTGGTGTCTGGTAAATGATTTGCTAATGATAGGAAAGTCTTAATTTAACGTCAGCTATTGTGAAAACACAATCGCTATGGAAATATCGCAGGAATAGTTTAGAGTAGTGTATTAAGTGTCTATATTTAATAACATGTTAAAACTTCATTTTAATTCGCATCGTTGTATCATGAACAGTTTTATTAATATAGGTTTTGAGTTCTACAAATCGTTCATTTTCGTGGGTGATATTTTCATTAATTTCGTGGGCAGATATATCAATAACCTATTAAGTAAGTTTAAATAGAGTTATTGAGCTGTTTACACATTGCATATCTCGAAATTTTTGCTGTAACCGGATATATCGAACAGGTTGCATTGTTTGTTAGTGCATCCTAACTAGCGTTTCTGAAAAAATCTCTGTTTTTTTTAAAATTCGACTTGATCTTCCCCTTCTCGGTTTCCAAAGTGTTGACACTAGCAGCATTGATATATATCGCATCTAATGATTTGACGCTTCCGTGATATTCAATTAACAGGAAGCCACATCATAGCGCACAATTCACACGAACAATTTATTTGCATCTGAATAATACGTTACATATATGATGTTCATTACAGTCGTTTAAACCAAATAAAATTTTAAAACTGAAATGATTTTGTTATTATATTTACCTGTATTTAGACTGAAAGCACAGCTACATGTGCAATTTCAGTTGGCGATAAGGTGCAAGGTGTTGTAAGCAATCCACGGCATCACGGCATGCGTGGAATATACGTATAGTTTATAAAACACATTAATTTGCAAATTATGTTTGTCTTCCTCGAGTTACTTAAAATTATGGGACCTCAGTGGTCGAGTGGCTAAGGCTTCTGACCAACTTTATTACTAGCCCTCCATCTTTGGGTCGCTTGAGACCTATGTAGGACAGTCGCCAGGTACTGGCCACGGGTCGAATTGGGGGGGGGGGAGACACGACGTGACTCGACATTTGGAATCTATATTGTTTAACATCAGCCTGTATGATCACTTTAAGAACAGTTTCCCTATATATGCGATGCGAGTTAATTTGTTAAGTGAGTTTGTTTGATGGAGACGGCGCATGCACTTATAGTGCTACAAAACACTGAAAATGCGCCAACTGGTCACAATATGCCGACAATTATCTACTCAGTCATAATGTTAGCGTAATACACTTGTTCATTAGAACAAATGAAATTGCATAATAAAACATATATTAATGGATTTTTTATAAAACAAAATTAATATTTAAGTGAATCAGAAAGTACCTTTGTTGAATTAACCTTTTTTCAATCGTTGCCGAATACAGCGAAATATATGTGGCAGCTGTTTTCTGAAAACGCTATCGCAAGTTGTAGGATATTAAAGATCATCTCACACCGATTTGTATTGCTGTAAGATCGATTTTTGTTAAAGCGCTTTTCAGTTCATTAGCTTGATTTTATTTGGACTAGTTTTCACCGATAATAAGCGGAACGGGCGTGTCGCTATATTCCTCGTCACACAGTGCGCGGTACACGTGTCATCAAGAATATAAAACATGCCTTGCTAATAATATATTCAGTCTTTAGCATAAAGATGTCAAAGTGAGATCAGGCATACGACGAATAAGAGCGAATGATGTGTGCAAATGTAGTGCTTAGTGAAAAATGTACAGGATAAGAGGTTTGGTAAGATAATGAATGATTAATGAGACGTTTTATAGATTTTATAAGGCACTATCAATAAAAAGCAAAGAATCTGACTCAGTTTAGTTTTCTTAAACTCTCAGATGTCATCGGTTGTGACGGTAGCCATTTTAATGCAAACCATTGTGATGAGTGACAATTTGATGAAATTCTAATATTTCGACCCTGTTGAGGAGATGAATGGGTTTATGACCTCATAGAATGTGATTTCGTTCTCTAAGATATTCACGATATATGTGTTATGATTTTAAACTCCTTCACAAAGCAGAAATTATCTTGATATTGACTGGTTTAGAATTTTATCAGTGTTAAAAAACTGAAGTGAGAATTGAGAACGATGTCGCTTTTGAAATAATGTTTTTTATTCGTGTGGATCATGATGATGACATCAATACAACAATGACTTCAAACCATGAGCCAGGCGTTACAGAACAACATTAAAGATACATCATGCAGTTAATAATTACCAATGACAGGTATGGTGCTTTTTAATTTCCTTATCTAACTCGGAAAAAAATAAATAATGTCCAAAATTCACAGCAGATATAACACAATATGTGATTGGCCAATCTCTCTCTCTCTCTCTCTCTCTCTCTCTCTCTCTCTCTCTCTCTCTCTCTCTCTCTCTCTCTCTCTCTCTCTCTCTCTCTCTCTCTCTCTCTCTCTCTCTCTCTCTCTCTCTCTCTCTCTCTCTCTCTCTCTCTCTCTCTTCCGTATTATAATTTGGGTTAGCCGTAACCCTGACAGCAAGTACTAGTAGCAATAGATATCTCGCTACAGACATCTTTTTGTAGCTCGATCAATTTGAAAATATTTCTAATTAACCAGTGATGTGGTTGCGGGTTCAGATTCTACCGGAAGTGCTGAACTAAATAATTAAGTTTTTCCAAAAAATGATGTGTGAATGCATAACGCAATGTTTATGAAATCTGTTTCGAACTTGTTTGAATATAATCCCAAGATATTCCAATGCCACAATATGGAGAAATAAATACCATGGAACATTATCGCGTTATTGTGGTGATCCTATATACTTTGCTATGCTGACAGAAAGCCATTTTCTCTGATACTTTAAAGTTATTTCCGTATAATCTTACATCAAAGGAAATTGATTTCAATGTCATGTTATGTTCAGAAGATAATAACTTAATTGCTATACTAGAGTTGTAAATCATAACAACATCCAATTCAATAATAATCAGCCGTTATAAAATCATTCCTTATGTTTACAGTGATTGAAATCAGCATATACAAAGAAAGCTGGCAGCCTACCCAGATCACAATTAATTAGTATTGGTGACACAGCAAGGTGTATCACTTAATGTGATGTATAGTGACACGGCTTACTTCAACTGCAGCAGAAAGTGAAACGGATCAAGGGAACTCAAATAACAAGGAAAAAACAAGCGACGATATCGTTGGACATGCTATACAATATTGAATATTGTTTGTTATGTGTGTTTATCTGATGGATTCTTTGATATACTTCAATCTACAATTCATCTCGATAAATGTGCTTCGTTAAACCAAAATGTTTCTGTGTAAAGGAGTCTCTGTATTTTGGTGTCTACAGTTCGGTTGTCTTGTTGTTAATGGTGAGTGTATCCCAATATTATTATATATTATACTCAGTAAATTAACCTACTTATTTGTCTTATTTCAATATCTTTGCTACGTAACTTTTTTATTTTTTTTTATCTTTTTATTTTTCAAGAGTTTTTAATGTACATAACAATTACATCAACAAAACATCATCAAACATACAACATACAATATGCTCACTCACACATCACCATAATCTCGATTAAGTTGTATCATCATCATCATCATCATCATCATCATCATCATCATCATCATCACCACCACCACCATAATCATCATCACAAACACCATCATCGTAATCATCATCATCAGAAGAAGAAAAAGAAACATCATCATCATCATCATCATCATCATCATCATCATCATCATCATAAACATTACCATCATCATTATCTTCTTGCTGCGTAACTTACGATGATTTTTGATAACATGCTGCAAATCTTTTACACTTTTGTTAAGGAATATGAAATATGTTGATAAAACAAATTCTTTGTCATGTCTTTAATTTCGTTAGGCACAAAAAGAAAATGTTAATTGTGAACACAATCATAATCCACATTCAAATTAAATAAAACTAGAACATAACATGGACAAATGGGAAAGTTTACACATCAACTCATGAAAAAAGTTCTAAGGGAATTAGACAAGGTGTCCCGGAAGAGTAAGCGTCTTCTGATTCATCGACAACACCCGCCATGTAAAATGTTGAATTCAAGTTAATAATGTCATGTTTTCAAATAAGAAAAATGTATACAACAACGAACCCAACAGGAAATCTAACAAGCATAAAAAAGTCCAGCTTTATATCGCAAAAACGAATAGAATATTTATCTATGACATCATTGTGACTATCGTAATACTTTATGTTCCTCACCTTCATCTCTTCAAAAGCTGTATTATGTGTTTGTCAGTCAGTTGACTTCGTACTATAGGGAACAGGGTCATGATTATCGAAGCAACTGCAACATATAAACACCACAGGTTAGGGATTCGAAATTATTCACAATAGGGAAACCAAAGTCATCATGCATCTCATACAACGTTTTGGAAAGTTGTCTATGTTGGTTTCTTTGTAGGGAAAATAGAGATCGACGGATGACGTAGAAGAGTCTGGCATGGCCTCTATTTCCAATTCTGCCGTGTGTATGCAATAGACGTGGTCTTTTGTTAAACCTCTTTTTTTATAAAAGGCAACACGTCATCAAGATATCTGGAAATGAAAATGAAGGCTGTTAAGATAATTAATTTCAGAATATTCGCTTATTTTTTATTATTTTTATTTTTTTTTTTTTTGGTCATATGAAAAATAAAATCTTAGAGTTGTGCCTATGTCACAGAATTTCGAACACTAGTTAAATCATTTGATATCTTATTGATCTAAAGTCTCGTGACACATCAAATAATTGAACTCGTTCGGTGAATTCCTTATAACATCGACACTCAAGTAAGATCCTCATTCGAGTATATACCAACATCAATGGTGAAATTGGTAGGATGATGATTTTTATCCAAAATACGCCCAGAGTGTATATCTAACACTAAATCGTGTTTTAAAATGCAATAAATAAAGATTAATTGTGGCATACTA